AACAACGACCGGGGGGGGGGTGCGATCGGGACACGACAACCCATGCTTGCACGACCAGTGGAAAACGTACAACTTTAACGAAAGCCAACAACAGCAGCTACCTTGTAGAGGGGTCGAGGGAGATGTACAGGGTAACGGACTACCGCAGAACGGCGAAAAGTACAGCAACAGCAAGGCGTTCTGAAAAAAATCGTTCTGAGACCGCAGGAGGAAAGAGAGTCCTGTGCAAAATGAAATCCAGTACCTTCAACGCATGGTACCACGCTCTCGTTGGAAACGTTAAGTGTGCATATAATGAGACTTTTGAGAACTTATCACCCCGAATAGCCGTTTCAACATGGCGGCGAATCCTGGCCGTTCGTAACTGCTGTGAGTTGACATCCCGCAAGTCAATTTTGGAAGGTGGTGAGGGTGTTTCCGACTACGGCGCCAAGAGCGTGGTTACGTTGCAATACCCGTCTATTCTGGAATTCAGCATATTAAAGGAGTACACATCTCGGCATATGCACACGTAAGCAAATATGCCAACACGCGGCTGGAAGCACCCCCAAACGCTGGCGTTTACTTACTATCTCCGCTCTTGAGGTGCTTGCATTCTAATCGCGAAGGAGGATCAGCGGCCCCTTTTCTGATGTAAAGATCGTGTTCTTTTCACACTATTTTCCTTCCGCGGTGCTCGCCTTGATTGTAGTCGCTCGCCAGAAGGAATCAGCGGGGCCTCCATAAGTGCGCTGTCACCTGAAGAAACCGTGCCGTTCTCTGTCCACCTTCTCGGTAGGTTTACCGTGTACCACCATACTGTTCTGGTAGGTAATACTGCTGTAATAAATGAACATCGATGCTACTACTGATGCAGGCTACTCTACAGTGCAGCAGCTGCCCCCAAGATGTCCGGATGTGACTTGATATAAAAAAGAGACAATACGCTGCGTGTCTACCGCATTACCTCGAATTCGGTGCTGCCGCACGCGCTGTGTTTGGATCTCTTTGCTGTTTACTGGGCAGCCTCTGTAGTTTACAGCGGGCGTGTGCTATTCCAGTTCCACCAAAAACATGACGGCCTACGGCTTTAGCTGTGGGGTCAAGCATAGTTGCCCCTCCGCATCAACTTAGCCTCCCTCGATTATATGAAATGAAGGAAGCGAGTATTCAAAAAATAAACTGCAGCACATTTCCCACACTCAAGAGGTGCCCTCCTCGTGTGTAGGCTCACCGGTAAAGGCAGACGGGTCGATGGGTCCCATCATGATGGAAGCGCTGTCTCCTCCGATGTCGGCCATCTCTCCCACACACGCGCCGCCAGCTTACCTCCTCAAGCAAGCAAACAAACTGTCACCGGGTCAGCCAGCCCTCCTTGCACACAGAAGCAGCAGCACCAGCTTCGCTTTTCGCCTGGCCCGACCAACCTCCTCGTAGGCTCCTGCGTTCGGCGACGTTCCATACACGTGGGATCCGTACACACAGATTCTACTTGCTGTGTGTCGATGCCTAGCTCTCGCACGCCTCCGCTGGTGCTGTGTGTATCAGGCTTCGGTGCGTGCCTGGTGTGTGCGGTAGGCCAGCTACGGGGGGAGGATACAAAATTTGAAAATGTGTACTCTACGGAGCCCCGAGGATACTTCTGAATTGCAATGCTACACTGCAGTACACTTGGGAGTGGGATGTCTGTGCTCTCCCGTAGCCTATATCCGTTGTGTTCCTCATGCCCTTTAGAATGCTTACCGGCTCCCCTGTACCCACGGATCAGGCAGGATGAGTCTCTTTTTTCGTCGCGAGGACGATGTTGAGCATTGTTCTCGATTCGAGGCCCCCAGCGGCAGTGTCGCACTTGACAATCATGGCCCTAGGCACTTGATGATACTCGAACAATTTTTCGCCACACAAGGTTCGAACCAGGCACGCATGTGCTTATTTGAGAGACGGGTGAAGTTTTTGCGTTCGTGGGCAAAATCAACTTTCGCTCAACAGCCCTCTTGTTATAATAGGCACCCCTTGTAAAGCACCCGGGGAGTCTACATACAGCAGTCTAGGTCAACCGCTTCGTAGGTTGTCACTTTCAGAGACGGCGGCCTTGCTTGCCACACGCACTAGAAAACTAGCGCGAGCAGATTCCCCCCAATCCTCTCCGACATCCATGAGCATTATTTCTCGAACGCGCCATACATTTCCCCCCCGCACAGATGACAACGCCGAAAGGCACGAGAGGGAGCCACTAAGAAAAAAAATAATAATAAGCCATTTCCGGCCGGTTTCCCTCCAATCACTGAAAATACTTATAATAGCACCTCCCTTTCGACTGTCGCCACATGTATCTCGAACGGGTAGTCTCTCTGTGACATTATGTATCCTTTCTAAAAAAAGGAAAGGTCTCAACGGGACTTACCTGTGTACACCTACCCCAAAGGCAAACCAAAAACAGGGCTATCCCCATCGCACACGGCGTTCAAAGTCGGCAACGAACGGTGGATGAGGACGCGTTTCCGCTGCAGGCCAGTCGCCCCGCATCGTCGACGCTCCAAGGCTTCCCATCCCTACCCTCTCCCTGGGCTCGAAAAAAAAAAAACACAGGACTGGTTGGTAGGTCACTACGCCCCGGATGTTTCTACTAAAGCAGAAGCGACAATCGGGATACACAATTCAAGACCAGTCTAGAAACAAAGCGCGCCCTGCCTGCCTCACCGCCGAGGGGTCAAGTTCCTCCCAACGCGGCGTCTCTTGCCGCGGCCGTTGCCAGCCTCGCATCCGCTCGTTACATATCGTTGCACGAACGGTTTACCATCCCTTGGAGCCGCACCCCATATCCGCCGCCACTCCCTCCCACCGCTCCCGACCCATCGGCACGCTTCCAGAACAACCGGAACCGCGCGCTCCGAAAACAACGCCGCTTTCCGATGGCCGCGCTACAACGCTTACAACAACCACGCCAAGCCTCAACTTGATCATCAGTACAGCGCTATCCTCAGCTGCCCCGTCGCAGCCCCTTTCCCCTGGGGACCACCACCACCGCCGCCGCCACCGCCGCTGGATGCCGATGCCAGGTGGGGGCGGACGCAGTCCGAGAGGAAAGCCATCGTGTCCCCGGAAACCCCGTCCATGTCCAGCACGCTCCTGCCCTTGACGTTCTTCTCGAGGTCGAGGATGACCAGCGCCGACGAGTCCAGGCGGAGAGACCCGGCGGCGGCAAGCGCGCGCATGCGTCCCGGAGTCCCAACCTGTGGGAGCAACAGCAGCAGCGGGCCCTATTATTGATGGATCGATTCCACCAAAAAAAAAGAAAACGGACGACATCACCGAAAAATGCATCACAGGAAATACAGCGCTCAAGACAACATGTATCATTAGGCGAACCCCATTCGATTGACCGATTCCACCAAAAACAACGGAAACGGCGGCATCACACGAAAAATAACAAGCACAACAATAAGGCGATGGATTAAAAACTGACACGAGTTTCAAGCGAAGAAAAGAACAACATCAGCGGCGGTTGCTCATGACAGAAAATCGATTGTTGACGAACCTCCACGCAAGAAATAGGCAGGGCGAGTACCAGCGTACGAGTCTTGGGGCTTCACGTCCCTGTTATTCGTCCGCGTGACACGCTGTGTGTGTCTTGTCCGTTTCTATAGTAGGGGGGTCAGTGTTGTCGTGAGCGCTTCACGATCCACACAAGAAACAGCCGTTTTTTTGTTTTTGTACGATTCTTCGACATGCATGATGGTATACAGCGTGGAAGCATACCATGTACTTTGGTTTCGCGAACGCTCTTGAAATCGATCCTAGGTCCGGTCCAAGTGTCCTCGTTGTTGTTGAATGCCCTTGCACTTCTCTACTACTTTTGTACATCTTAATTCTGACGTTGTTGTTGTTGTGACAAAACACCGCAGCAAAAAACCTGCACACAAAATGAATACCACGCAGTACCTGCGGTAGCATATAACGGTGTCTACTAGAAAACCCTCGTATTTTACGAAAGAAATAACGGCCACAGTGGAAACCTTCCGACGAATCCGGGTTCCAGGGGCTACTTGCAATCCCCCCCCCCCCCTCCGCCCCCCCCGGGTGTTTGCCATCGGGGTTGGGTTTTCGTCGCTTAGCAACTACGTTGTAAAACAAGCCAATTCACTTCGTGAGCTCGGCAACCAGGTTACCGTTTTTTTTTATGGCCTTTGTTATTGCTTGCGGCAGTAACGGTGATGATGGTCGAGTAGATCATGTTGTGCGGGGTCGAGAACCCTCGCTCCGCGCAAAGGGGGGAAAATCGCACCACGTTGTGTTAAAATGGTCAAGCACCCTCGAGGCAGTTACACAGTGCTTACAACTGTCTCTGGAAGTGAAAGCACCAGAAAGTAAATTAATTCATACGCAGCTGTCATCCGTACGCAAGGAAGTAAGCACAAGATGCCGAACACCCTTAGCAGGATGCAGCGCACCCTTCATGCGACTCGCCGAATATCTCACGGCGCTTCGCGCTTGGTGATGTGAGAGCCTGGTCCGGTGAGAACCCGGCGTGCTCCGTCCCGGCTTTGTAGGGATGCGAGGTCAACGGTCTAACGACTACGGCATGCACAACTATGAGTACACCCCCCCCCTCCTTCCCGTCACACACGACCGCGTTCTTACCCCGAGGGGGAAACATCCCTTCCGGAGCATGACCTTCTGCTCCTCGATCTTGAGGTGCTTCGCGAACAGCTTCACCACCTGGCACCGAAAGGCTGTCAAGTGTTTCATCACCTGTAGCAGGTAAGAGACGGGCAGCGAAAAAAAAACAGCAGAGTTCGATTATGTCCGAGGCGGTTAAGTCCAAGACTACTGTAGGCGGTAGGCGGTGGAGAACGGAACGCAAAAACACCTGGTACTTACCGTTTGTGTGAAGGGGACAAGGGCTCCGCGGGATGAAAACAAGAATGAACGGGGGAGAAGGGGGTGTATGGGTGGATGGATACAGACAAAGCTTTTCAAGCGAGAGACAAGTCCCCGAGACCACACCTCTGATAAGGACAAACACGATCCCCATCACCCTCCTCTCCCCGAAAGCTTCACCCGCTGCCGTGTCGTCACTAGGGTAGCCCGCTCTGCCGGTCTACCTACCTCGGGGGTCCTTGTTGTACCGTTCTCTGGTCGAGCTTCGGCAACAGGAGCATGGCAACCGCACACCCGCCCCTTTTCTCGCCGACACTCTTCCCCCCCCCTCTTTTCGTAACACCACGGAGGAGACTCGTTCAACAGTAGTGTCATTGCTTCACAAGAGACTCAGGTGGCAAACTCCACGTCCCCATGAGACCCCCCGGTGTACGGACGTATATCTACTGTACCTCGACGCAGCGCCGCGCGCCCGCGCAGACGATGAGCACCGACGGGCTTCCCCTTGGGGCGTTGCTGTTTCTATTCTGTATTCTCTTCTTCCAGTCTGGGAGGGACGCTGCGATTGTGGACGACGATGGGGGGAAGGGAAGGAAGGCGGGGGCAGAAAAAAACGTTGGTGGGAAGGGTCGGGGCCAATTCGGGTTCGTATGCCTCGAAGGGCAAAACACACACATATATACACACACAGAGGTGGAGAGACAGACAAGCGTTCAGACAGCATTATCACCATCCGCATGTCCTAAAAAAAAAAGCAAGAGCAGAGCGCCCAGGTATTGCATTCACAGCGCTTACCGCTGGTCCGTCCAGGCACAGGGAGAGCGAGAACGCACATGAACAAAAGAGCCGAGGAAAAAATACACGGCCACATTGCTTGCTATCGGGGGAAGCCGCGGGCAATACTGCAGCCAGCGTATTTGGGATACAGCACTAGTTTTACCGCAAGAAAAGCCGCACTACTGGCGTACGTTCACATCGTTCACCTGGTTTGTTGCTTTGCAGCGCCGTCGACGCCAACAAAAAGAAACATGTACACACACGCGCGCGAGCGCGCATTTTTCCTGTTTTCAGCCGCGCTGAGACTGATGTCTGTTCACATTATCACCCGGATTGCAGCGCGGTTGATGCTGACAGTTAAGACACACACAAAGCAGCAAACACAGAGCAAAGTAAAGCAAAGCAGATAGATCAAGAAGAAGCGCACCCTTGATGAACCCGACGAGCTTCATAGCGGTGTGCGCACCGAACCCTTCGACCCGAGCAAGCGATCCAGCGGTTATCCACGGAAAGTCGAGCTCCAGCGGGGTCACTAGGTCCCCCCGGACCTTGCAAAACCTGGCCCACAGCTCGTCGGCCTCCTCCTCGACGGTCTTGGTCACCGCTGCCCCCGCTTTTGCTCCCTGTTCCCTCCCATCCCCGGTTTTGGTCGCCGCCGGCGCCACCGATTCCTCATGGGATCTCCGTTTCTTTTTCTCCTTCAACTTCGCCTTCGGGTGAATCGTTGGCAAGCGTAGACGAAAAAAACGAAAAATTGGGTGAGACGGAAGGCAGCAGCACCAGCAGTGGCAAGTGGGGGGAAATGTTCATATGTGGCGATGAGAGAAAGCGCAGCAGTAGGCCACAGCGGCCGCGTGGAGCACGTTCATTTGAAGCGACAGGATAAAGAAAGATCTTACCCGCTATCGTTGTATCCTTCGCTCGCCCAGTGACGTGATTACGAATGATAATAAGGTGTGCAAAAGAAGAGCTTGGGCACGTCGGCGGCGGCGGCAGCGTCTGGGGGCGACTAACATCCCCTGCTGCTTCGGTGCAGTCGTGGGCCGCGACATACCACAACTTTTACCTTGAATGCCTTTAGCTTCTGCTTCTTCTTCTCTGCACGCCTGAGCGTCGCCTCTTCCTCCTCTGTCGCCTTAAGCCTAGACTCCTCGTCCTGCTCCTCGTCCTGCTCCTGCTCCTCCCCGTCGCCCTCGCTGCTGTCCGTCTCCTCGAAGCCCTCTGGGCTGAGCTGGGACCTGCCGCGCTTTCGCCCGGCGAGAGTGTTTGTGATGCTGCTGCTGTTGTCGTTCTTCTTCGTATTGTTGTTGGGTTTTTTTTTCTTCTTGGTTACTTCCTTGGGCGCAACTGCTGCCGAAAGGCCGCGAGAAAGGGGTAGGGAGCGGGTGAAGAGAGAGCGAGAGAGAGGGAGGGGGGGGGTAGGGATCGAGTTCCAATCAAGACAGGGTATTTGAGCTAATGCTTACCATCCACCACTTTCACAAGGTCATATAGCAGGCATTGACTTCCTGTGTGTAAGCAGGCAATCCGTACTGCTGTTGGTGCGCGGGAATCTTCCTCACCTAGTCTACCTCCGCAATATCATGCCACCTGTTTACAAGCCAGGTGTGCATTCAAGCGACTCGCACAGCAGGGGGACAGGGAAAGACTGCATCACCAAATCTTGGTTGACGTTAGACGCTGTCACACCCAGTCTCTACGTTGCCTGGTGTGTCAAGGTTGCAGCTCTGACGGCACTACATGTCTTGGTCGCCATGCGGCCAAAAGAAGGCGTTGAGTTGTATGGCTGGCGGGGATGTGGTGTAAAGCACTGGAGTGGAAATCTCTCCTAGAGCGGCATCAACGAAGGGGTATCTGTGCAGGACGAGATGCTCGAGACAGAAACGCTTCAGAGGGCTGGCCGTTCAACACTTATGGGACGGCTGTTAACTAGGAGCTCTGCTGTCATTGGCCACAGCCAACGCCCACAGCGACAGCAGGGAGAGCCGCGCAGAACAGCAGTACAGGAGAGGAGTTGCGCCGCATTTTCGTGGTGAAGGTGTATGGGTATCATCAGCCACCGCCGTCGTCTTACCCGCAGCGGCAGCCGCCGTGGAGGTGCCTTCATCGCCGGAGTCAAGCCCTTTCACCCCCCAATCATCACCGAGGTCGTCTCCCATACCTCCGCTCGAGCTCTCCCACGCTACAGCAGCTGCTACTGCTGTCTGCTGTTGTTGGTGTGCCGGGTGCCGGGTTGGACGCACACATTAGGAGGCGTTCAACAAGCGGGGCTGCCAAGATTATTATTTTCGGCGGCAGGCAGCAGGCGGCGGAGCAGCAGCAGCAGCAGCAGTGTCATCCCTTCTTGCCACGCCACCGCACCACAGGAGAGTTGCAAGAAGAGCTCACATAGCAGGCATGGACAGCAGAACCGTGGGGGTCCTCGGGGGCGGCCAGCTGGGCCGCATGATGGCCGAGGCAGGGCACCGACTGGGCGTAAAGGTGGCGGTCCTGGATCCTCTGGGCACGGCTTCGCCGGCCGGGCAGGTGGCGGAGCTAGCCGTCGAGGGCAGCTATCGCGATGCGGACAAGATCAAGTGAGACACGCGCAGCAGCAGAGGGTACACGGGGGAGGAGGAGGACGCAATCTTCCTTTCCAGTAGCGTGCGCTGGGGCAGTGGTCGCGGCAGCGCCCACATATAGGCTTTTACTTCATGTTTGCACTTGCTGCCAACAAGCGGTTTTTCAAAATTCGTCGCGTGTGACTTTGCGTTACGGTGCGTACAAGGTGTAGCAGCAGGTGTTGAGGGTTGGCACGGGACAAGCACCTCAGATTTTTTTGTTCGGCACACTCCTTGCCCAGGCGCTTCTCATCGAACCACACAAACGGTGGCGATGCTCTGCCATGAATGCCCTCTGTAGTCTCATGTACCAGATATCCCCCGAATACTTGCTGGTTTGATTCCGCCGCGCGTCATTAGCACTTGGAGCACACGCATGCAACATGCCGGACTGCTGCTGTAATACGGGCAGACTCACATCCACAGGTACACAGATGGCGCCGCCACTCAAACGTGTGGAGCTTGAGAACAGTGAGCCTCTAGTTTTGTCGCCCCTCATGGCTAATGTAACCGATGTACGTGCATCATTTACATGAGGCCTACTTAACACGCAGCAAGGTGTGCTGTCTACAAAACAATACATCCAGCAACTCTGCTTCCGTTTGTAGACTAGTCTTAGTCCAGTCCCCGTACAAATGCATCCCCCGTACAAGCCCATCTTCACGCACATTCTAGATAGGGGACATCGCACTCAAAACGCGTGTGGCTTGTTTTCCAGCGCACACAAATGGCCTACATCTTCGACTCCCCCTAGGACAAACGGCAGCCCGGCACACAAGATGGCCAAGAAACGATCTTGTTGAGCCTGTTACCCACAGGGGAGACAGACATCACTGCTGCATGTTGCTCGAGGACGGTGTATGTAGTCGGCACATCGGCAGGCCATGGCATGGCACTTCTAGTCCATGGCGAAGCTATCCCAAGCTCTATATTTGTACGTAAGTACAGAGAATGGAACGACGCATCTGCAAGAGCATGACAAAAACAGTACCAGTGTCTCAAAAGTAAATAAAATACAAAACAGTAGTAGTAATGTAGAAGTAAATATTCTACAAAGCGTTCTTTGCAAGCGGCGGGGAAGCCTGAACCCGGGCCTCTGGGCTAAAACAACAAGAAGTCCGCGAGGGGTGGCTCTACAGAACCTGCACACAAGTTGCCCTTTGCCAGGTGTGTGAAGTTTAGCGCTGTGCGCACTATTTCGCACAGCTCTGTGGAAACACCCCCGACGGTGGGACGGCGCTCCCAAAACATGTCGTGGTGGCCTCCAAGGTACGAGGATGCGTCTATTCAAAGCAATCTCCATCCACACTACTAGCGCACCCCCCCCCCGTTCTTTGGGCTTTCCAAGTCCAGTCCTTCCCCCCCTCCCTCAAAGAACGCGATCAACCTCACGGCGTAGCTAAAGTGGACGGACAAACTCGTACCGTTGGGCCACATGACACAAGATTTCACACCCCCTGGACCGATTTTCAAAAGCTGGATTTCTCCACAGCAGCGGTGCCGAAAATGGTGAGGTCGGAACCGTCCCATTGAGAGCTTTCCGAAAAGTTAACATCTGACTGCTGTGGCGCCATGTTCGTCGTGGAGAAAAATCGAGCTATTATGATCGGTCCGGAGGGTGTGATAACTTACGTCACCCAGGGGTAGGTATCCCGGTCCACCGTCGTCGCGGCGGATACGAAAACAATTTCGGGAGAGGGAGAAAGCGAACGCGTAAATGACTTGTTACCCCCCCCTCCCCCGGCATATCGCTCTGTCCCTACATCGTAGGGGTGCGAAGTCAATCGTCTAACGACTGCGGCAAGTGCTTCCACGATTACCCCCTCCCCATCAACCTCATCCGAACTCTCAACCTCTAGCCCCCCCCCCCCCCCCCCCCCCCNGTCAGCGAGCTGGCAGAGCTGTGCGACATCCTGACGGTGGAGATCGAGCACGTGAACTGCGAATTTCTGTCGGACCTTGAGGCCCGCGGGGTGAAGGTCCAGCCTAGCCCGAGGACCATCAGCGTGGTCCAGGACAAGTACGCACAGAAGGAGCACTTCCGGGAGGTGCGCGCGGTGAAGAACACGAGCGTTCTCATTCTTTTTTTTTTTTGTAGAAAATGTTAAATTTTTTATTAAATCTCGGCTGTTTACCCGCTCGAGATAGTACCACAGCAGCAGTCGAAGGATGTGTTGCAATCTTATTTGCAGTTGTCACGTTCGCGTTTGGATCTTCGCACTGGACGGAGCAGCCGCGTTGTGTGTGTTTATGTGTGTGGTTTCATTTTTGTTGGAGAGGGCATACCCAAGCGCAAGACGTTGGTGCTTTTGTCTTCCACGCATGTGTGTTGGCCGCTGCTCTTTTTCTGCAATCGGTGTCTTGTTCTGATGCTTGGTTCGCTCCTTCGCCCATCTGTCAGACCGAGCCCGTCCGTTCCTGATTGATCCCCCCCCCCCCCCCCCCCCCCC